CCCCAAAACCCCAAAACCCCAAAACCCCAAAACCCCAAAACCCCTAAATTCCAAATAATACCTGGAACTATAATATTTATTAACATTAAAGATGAAGCTACAAAATGTTGTCCTCAGAGAGATCCTTCTCTTCCTGTCTCTGCAGGAGCTTATGCAAGCCAGACTTGAGCTTGTCAGCAAACAGTTTTACCACAACATCTTGTAAGAGGCTCCGCTGGGGGATTCGTGCTGAGGGTGTCATTACGTATAAAGTTCCAAAGATTTTTGACTGAAGAAACTTCTGTTTAATCACTTTATTAACTTTATTGACTAATATCTAGGGAAGATAATGAATTGCTCAGGAGAATGATCCAGAACTATCTCTGTTTGACTAAAGACTATTCGAAGGAGCAAGAGTACCAAGAAACTGTTCTTTCTATCTTTGCAAAAGAAGATGAACATAAAGATCAAGAAGATTTAGAAGAGAGAAAACAGAGACCTTACCTTAAAATTTATGATGATCCTTCTTCAGATGTTTTCCCAGTTTTGAAGAAGATATTCAGAGAGCCTAAAAGTCTTTCATTTATTGTCCAAAGGTAAGACAGAAACTTTAGTCTTTGTCTCAGAGTAATAGTGGTAAAAGGACAATATTGATTGGATTATGGATGACAAACTCAAGCTCTTACTACACCCAATTTCTTCATTTCAAAACTCTCTAATCTTTGGTTACTTTGTTAGATATTTTTATTTCTAAACTCTTATTGTCTGATGTCTCTGAAATAGGTGTTGCTTTAATCTTTCTTTAAGTTCTTAAAATCTCCAGATTTTTGCTAAAATTTAATCCAAACCAATCCACTACAAAACGCTGTTCGCAAAGTTCTCCGAACAAATTTTTCTTGATGATCAAATAGCTAACCCAAAACTCAATTTCTGATAGAATCCTAATCTTAATTTTGTGCTAAGATATTCTGTAGAACAACAGGAGGCCAACAATATGGCTTACAGAATGCGAAAAGTCTCTTCAATGATGACGGAAGAAGGTACAACACTGGGCCAGAAGAGTATTTTCCCAATGGAGTTTGCTGTATCTCAGCCTTGGTATACAACGAAGAATTATATGATGAAGGAGCATTGGTAACGATTTATGAGAAAGCTAATGTATTAAACAAATCGATTGATCCTTATGTTGATCTTGCTGAGCTTCATAGAATCAAATGACTTAAGAGTAATCAGTATAAGATACAAAGATTTGAAAGCAAAACTAACTTCGGTATGGTACTCGCCTCCTTTTTAACAATAGACTTTTACCAAATATATTTTAGCATCAACGCTCATGAATTATTGTATATAGAACAAATGCTGGATCTATTGGAAGAACCATTTTATTCAGCACCAAAGATCATTCACCATGATAAATCAAAGGCTGTAAATGAATCCAGTCCTCACTATCATACAGTACGTGGGTGCTGATAACCATATTTATAGGATCACACATCAATAATGGTATATTTCAAAAAACTAAAACTTTGCAAACTTTCTTAGGAGTTCAATACAAAGGTTCACCAAGAGTTATCAAGAGACAAACTTTTTGTTCTCAAACAGATAGATGTACCACTAAGCTCTGACCTTTAGACCGCGCTTGCAAGAGGGTGCAGCTGCCCGTTCAAAGCCTTTGCCATCTTTGTTCATGACCACCCTGTTGTGCCAGAAGACCATGCTCTTACTCTTATAGTTAAGGGGTTGTATGACTCCTTGCAGTGGAATAAAAAGGATCCTTATGGTGCTGTGAGAACCAATAGGTACTTGAATTTTGATTCTTTTTGATTGAATCTAGCCTCAGAAGACGAAGAAGAAATGTGCAAGAAGAAGAGAAAGAAAAGAAGGTTGAAACCAATTATATAGAGCAAATAACAAATACTTATCAGAAGGGATTCAATGCTGGAGTTCTTCCTCAGATTTGTGAATCAAATGAGAACTGGATTGAGTTCAATCAAAAATTCTATTCGAGCAAACTCAAATGTCCAAGCACAAGTAAGGCTTTTATTTTCAGATGTATGATTTTGATAAAGATGAAGAGACTAAGCATGATTTCACAGAGATTCTTCCGAATAGTTCAACTTCAGAATTCCTCCCTTCTTTGGATTCTGAAGATGCTGAATCGATTCTAAGTGACGACAATTACAGATTGGCCGGAATTGTCTACAATTTAGATGTAATATTTTCTAAGAACTTTAGGCTCAATCAAAGACATACACCATTAAAGTAGCACAGCCAATAACAGGAAGACACATTACAATCTTAGGTATTTAATACAACAACATTATAGGTCTAGACTATTGGTGTGAATATGGAACAGATCACAACTACGATTTCGGAGGAGTATTCTTGAAAGGAAATCTAATCCCCAGTTATCTAACCATTGATGATTAACCCTCCAAAAATCCTCTCTATCCCCTTATCTCTCATCTCCCAAATCCGTTCCTCAACGCACTCATCCCATAACAAGCCAACTATAAACGCTATCCAAAAATTCCTAAATTCCCCACCTTCTATATCCTCCAGTCAGCTTCTAGTCCAAATCTCTCCACGGCTAAAATCTTACCAAACAAGTTATAGTTAATTTCTAGGGAAAAGCGCCACTTGTTACAGTTCAAGTTTAGTTTTTGAACATTAAACAATAGTTATTTATACAAATTCCAATCACAAACAATCAGAAAGGGGTTTTGGGGTTTTGGGGTTTTGGGG